CTGCTTTTGTTTCTCTCTCTGTTACGGACGTAGGAGAGCCGCGGCCTCCAAACATGGACCACGGAGCCGGCAGGGAGATGAGCGGTCCCGATGTAAGATCCCGCAGCCATCGCCTCGCTCCCGCAACGAGCGGCTCCGAGTGCCCCGCGGCGAGGAGAGAACATCCCAACGCGGCAGAGTTTAACGCAACCGGCTGCGCTGCTAGAAACCGCGAGAGAGCCTCCAGGAACTCATCCCGCTTCCGCGCGGTACGAAAACAAACCGAGAGCCCAAACTAAGGAAGAATGAGCCCCCGCCGTCCGGCGCAACGCCCGACCCAAACGCAGCTCCGCGGCCGCTCCCGACGGCAGCTTGGCGCTCCCGGCACCCCCAGCCGCGTCCCTTCGCACCGCTTCGCCGCCAACAAACACTTACGGGCGGAAAAACAGAGCCAAATGTTTTTCAACTCGCCCAAAACAAGAATCCCACCCACCGGCTCGCCCTTGAGCCCCTAGCTGCACTTTCCCGAACACCAAACTCCACTTTCGGAACAGACGCTACCGCCCAGCCCCGACTGCCCGCGCCCCGCTGTCCGCCCCATCCCGGCATCGCTCCAGCGGCCCCGGGAGCAACTCCTTACCCGGTACTCCGGGAGGGAGACGCCGCCAGCAGCAGACGCAGCACCAGCGGCCGGCACCGGCCGGGCAGGAGGCGCTGTCGCCCCGCAGGCGGGGCCAGGATCCGCCTCGCAGCCCCGCCCCGGCACGGCTCGGGTGGGGCGGGGTCGGGTCGGGTCGGCTGGAACTGGGGTAGCTTCGATAGGAAAGGTTGGCCCGGCATGGGGTGGCATGGCACGGCTCGGCAAAGTTCTGCTTGACACAGCACGGCGCAGTTCGGCACAGCGCGGCTCGGCTCAGCCCAGCATGGCACAGCAGCGTTTGGCACCGTTCAGCATGGCTAGGTATGGTTCAGCGCAGCTCAGCAAGGTTCAGCTCGGCATGCCACAACTTAGCATGATTCGGCATGGCCCAGCACAGCTCTACGAGGTTTGGCTCGACATAGCATGGCACGGTTTGGCATGGCTCTTAGCTGCACAGCTCAGCATGGTTTAGCATGGCTCAGCACTGCTCAGCACAGTTAGACGCATTTTGGCATGGCTCAGCGTGGATTCACACAACTCGGCTTGGCCCAGCAGGGCTCAGTTTGGTTTAGCACAGCCCAGCTCGTCGTGACCTAGCACAGCTCAGCTCAGCACAGCACATCTCAGGCTGACCTGGCAGGGCTCAGGTCAGGTTGGGATGTTTCAGCCTGGTGCGGAACAGGAACTGGAATGGACTCAAAATCGGAGGTGAACTGAGAAGTGGAAGCAGAAATACAGATGTAACCAGAAGCAGACTGTGAACTGGAAGTGGGCACTGAGCCAGAAGTAAAACTGCAGCTGGAAGGAGATGTGGAACCTAAAGAAAACGTGCGAGTGGAAGTGGAACCAAACCCTGACTGAAGGAGTGAGAGTGAATGGCTGCCCGGAAGTGACCTCAGAGCCGGAAGTGAACACAGAACAAAAGAGGAACTGGAAGTACAAATGTAATGGAAGCAGACGTGAAACAAGAAGTGGAAATGTAACTCAAAGTAAACTAGAACCGGAAGTGATCGTGGAACTGGAAGTGAAAAGGGAAGGAAATGCAGAACCAGAAGTGTAACCACAATTGGAAGTGGAAGTAAATGAGAAACCGGAATTGAAAGTGGAACCAGAAGTAAAAGCGGATTGGAGCAAAAATGAATCCAAAACCATAAGTGGAACATGAAGCCAAAAGTAGAAGATGAACCAGAAGTGGAAATTAAACCAGAAGAGGAAATATAACCCAAACTGGAAATGGAACGGGAAGTTGAAGTGGAATCAGGAGTTAAAATGTATTGCCTGTGTCATGCAGGCAATGAGCTCTGGGCTGAGCGAGGTGGCTGCCTGAGGCCTCCATAGGCATGCCCTGGAGATGCTGGAGTGCACAGTGCATCCCCCATCTCCATGCACAAGTTTGTGTGGAGGCTGTTGCCGAGGCACCATGCACACCTCACAGCCTGTGGCAGAGCTGGAGCAGAGAGACCTCCTCAAAACACAGGGCAGCACTGTGGGTTTGGATGTTCCTCCAGTGTCCCCAGTCAATATGGGGTGCCCTTCTCACTGAGTCATGCACGGATCTCACCATTAGCCCCTCCACACACTTATCCCCATGTGCACACACGGTGTCCAGACCATCTGAAGTAAACAGCACTCAAAAAAGGAACTAGAGAAGGGGTGACTCACACTGCATCACCTTTGATAGGAGTGATGTGGCTGGGGTCACAGCTCTGACTCAAAGGGAAGCTCCTGAAAGGGGTACCAAGACAAGAAGAGCAGCTGTTCCTCAGCAAGGAGATGGGGGCCAGGCTGACTCTCCTGCCATGAATTTTTGGCAGGACACTCCATTCTTGCAGCTTTACCTGGATTCTTCCCTGGCATGAAGACCAATGTTATAAAGCAGGCCGGGTGATTTTTCAAGGAGCCATCTCCATGTACATAGTTCAGACTCACTGCTCAAACTTCACATGAGGAGTCGTATAAAGGCTGTTTATAAAAACCACGGGGATTTCTTTATTTTGGTGCAGTGACAAGGACCTGGGACAGTATGCAGGGGCTGCCTTGGATGAGCAGCCCGGGTGACTGTGCTTGTTGCAAAGTAGACTTGCTCCAATTATTGCAGGGGAGGTGATTAATGATATATATATATGTGTACATGTATATATATGCCCACAGTAAGGCAAGTCATTATCGCCCAACCAGTTTATCATATATTCCTGGATAGTTAGGCTTGGGGATTGGGGGGGGAGGGGGGAGGGAGAAGAAAGCAATAGTGAAAAGACAGAAAATAAAAGCAAGGGTTCATTATAGGAATGCAGAGATAGTGACCACTGCAGTTTCACATTGCACGAATCTGGAAGGCAGCAGGGATGGGGAGTGCAACTTCTCAGTCAGCGATGGGGTGTTCTGAGCAAAAAGGCAAACAACGAAAAAAGGCACAAAAGGGTTCAGGCGAAAATGGGCCAAAAGGCATAAAAAGGCAGTAGTCCTTTGTTTGCGAAGTCCTTATAAATGATCTGGGCTTTCTCTATTTTCACAAGATAACAACATGTTTTGCACATTCAACACTACAGCGCAGCCTTATCTACTCCTGTGCAGCCAGGGCCCCTCATCTTAGGGTCACTTCCATCTATCTCAGAAGCAGAACACGAGCTGGGACCCTCTCCTTATCTTCGTTGCCCCTGGCAACCACGTGTAGGCAGCAGGGAGTCCTTTAGAGTCTCCCACAGGCCTCTCAAGCAACTTCTGAGACAAAAAACTTCTTTGTACACACTCACAGGGCTGCAACACTATCCTCATGCAACAGCAGGCACTGGTTTCTGTAAAGCTCAGAGGTGTAGGAACCTGGGCCAAATCTATTTTGTTTGTTTAGAAATTACCCTACATTTTTGAAAACAGCAGCCTTGCCTATTAAAGTGAGAATATGATCACTGGAGTGTATTATACATAAAGAAGGAGCACGTTTTCTAAAAAAAAGGAAAGGTTCCATTTTACTTTTAGACTGGCACAAAATTCTTTGATTCAGCTAGATGGAGCAAGGGAGCAAGCCGAATATTAATTGTTTGGCAAATTCTACGTTAAATTGTAATGCTTTGTACTGGTGAGCATTTCACATTTTATCGTCATGATGGTAGGAGATGGAGATCCCTTCTCTAAGCCTGAACTTAGAGTCTTTCCAAGGGAAGGGAGACCTGGGCTGGGGGTAAGCTCTGGGTTTCCCTGGTCAGATTCATTTCTCAACAGATTCCTTCACATCCACCTGAGGCAGGCTGTATTTGGTGGGTTGGCAAGCCTGGATATTGCAGTGTTGCTTCCATGTGGTAAGGCCAGCTGGCAAGGGGCTTCAATGACTTAATGCAACCTCAGTGCTCTGTAGAATAAAGAAGGTGCTCTGCTAAAACCCTGAGGTGATTAAGCAGGAGGTAAGTGAACTGCTTGGTGTTTTAGGAAGCATCAGGAACATCCTTTTTCCTTAGAAAAGTATTATCTGATTTCTTGGGGAAGTCTATAAGCAACATATCCTCTTCTCCAAATCTTTTTCTCCGAATCTTTATTGCCAAAAGCTGTTGCTGCTGCCTAGAAAAGATGTGAAAGTGATGGCAGGAGCTCTGAGCAGCAAAAGAATGAGAGTGGAGCACGTGGTCTCAGTCATTTATTGGTCTGTACAATGTGCATCTCAGTGCTGTGACTGTGGAATGGAGTTCCACTTGTTACACTGAGGTTATGTGTCGAGGCATTACGTAGAGCTATGTGGTTGCTGTAAGGAGGAGCACATATTTCAGTGTGCATTGTACAGAGGTGGTGAGTGTTACTTGTAGGGGGCATACAGGTGTTTGGGCTCTGTAGTGTAGCTGGGTGTATCTTGTAGGATTATTTACAGAAGCATGACTTTGTCTATGCATAGGACATGTTTAGAACAATTTGGCATACAGAACAATTATGGTCAGATGTGCATCAGTGTGACACTTGTTTGGAACAATGGAAGTGTATTTTTGGAGGGCAGCAAGGTTGTGCTGCTGTCTCAGTTCAGCATAGGGCTGTAAAATGGGGCTCATCATTCATGGTATGCCTCTTCTTGTGCATGGAGGCAATATGGGGGCAGTGTAATATCAAAGGAGCCATGTGCAGTACATGGGTTACATGGGAGATCATAGAATCACAGAATGGCCAGGGTTGGAAGGGACCTCAAGGATCATTAATCTCCAACCCCCCTGCCACATGCAGGGCCACCAACCTCCACATTTCATAGCAGCCCAGGCTGCCCAGGGCCCCATCCAATCTGGCCTCCAGGGATGGATGGGGCATCCACAGCCTCTCTGGGCAGCCTGTTCCAGCACCTCACTACTCTCTCTGTAAAGAATTTCCCCCTGACATCCAACCTAAATCTTTCCTCCCTCAACTTAAAACCATTTCTCCTTGTCCTGCTGCTATCTACCCTTTCAAAGAGTTGATTACACTCAATCTGTAGCACTGTCTCAGGCAGCTTGACACTGCTGCTGGGTGCACATCTAGGTTAACAAATGATAATTAATTCCTCTTAACTGTTTCAACAGCTGGGTTTTCAAAGTACTACTGCATCTGAGCAGGAGAATTAGAATTCTCATCTTTACTTGTAATGCAGGTTATGGTTACAGTCTTTATTTACAGCAATTTGTTGTCGTCCCATGAAAGTACAGTTTGTGCATTTGGGTATATTTGTCACATTGCATTTTTCTATATTCTTTAATATCTTAATAGGTGAAAAGGCCTAAGAACAACCATGCTTTTGCATGGAAATAAAAGGGAATCTAATGGGGCTCTTAATCCTCTGATACTCTTGTAATTGAGAGAAGAACTTGGTCTCACAATAATGAAGTGAATGCCCGTTGTTTTGGCAAAAGTGTGCACATGTATTCATGTTGTGTTTGAAAACTAGCCAGAAAATTGCTAAGTTTGCCCCATGTAGACATGAGGTCAACTGAGTCTCCAAGGAAAGAGAAACTTTTCACTGGAAGAGGATGGAAGTTGCAGTGTGAACCCTGGCAGTGTAGGCAGTGAATGATCGTGCTCCTCTATAAAAGAGCTGCTTAGAAATTGTTTTTCTTTGCTCTGCAGATTGCTAGCAGGTTGCTGAGAATTTCCACCTTCAACATTTATTTCAGTTAGACCATCATGAACGCTATCCCAAATACCTCCCCAACAGCTGGATCTGTCAGTGTGGGTATCAATGCAATGAGCATCCATGTACTGACACCAAGTATTAAGGCTACTGGATCATAAGCTGGGGCTCAAGAAGATGATAACTTGCTGTGTATTTATCTATTGCTGAAGGAAAACAACTTTAGAAAGGGCTTTGCAGGCAAAGGGATCTCACAACTTCTATAACTGTCAGGGGGTGTTAGATAACAAATGGACATATTTTGTTCTAATATTTTTTCTTTCTCATTCAATATTTCTGTAGTCATAAAATTGAGTCTTTGTGATTGTTCAGAATGAACAGATTATCTATTTAAATGGCTGACTACCTCAGTAATTAACGAGATCTTACACTTGAAGCACAGTATATTGTTACTCGCAGGTGCTTTGTGGCCTATGCTGTGGAGCCAAAGACCTCTAGGTGTTACATGCTTAGAGCAAATGTCTCTGTAGCAATGGCATCATCACAGTTGTCTCTGACATGGGGTGGAGTTATCAAGGCATCTATTTATAGGGCATATGACATTTCCATTGAAAAGGAGAACTTAGTCCTGGTCATTCTCAGGTTTGAAGCAAAAGTAAAAAACTGAAGTATTTCAGGCAGGTTTTATTTTTCTGCACAGCTTGATGGAGTAGGCTGAATTTCAGCAAGGATTTTGTTCACTGTTAGGAGCTCACCTTGCTACACGTGTTAGGGTGACCCACAGCTAGTTGGTAACGTTACTGTATAAACAAGTGGATTTAAGGTATTCTGTGAAATGGTCTGGGAACTTCTGTGCTGTATTTGGGATTCCTCTCTTCTATCAGCATAATCTGTTTTAAAATTCTTTTCAGTTTACGTTTCTCCTACTCAACAAGCCATCTGCTACTGAACTTTGTTCCTTTATATATGTGCCAAAGTCCTAAAGGAAATATTGACTTAAACAGAAAATTCTTTGAGGCTTTAAAGTGTTCTTAATACTACATGCTGTCTTTTCAAGCCTTATAGAATTGCTTTTCTCTATTTGTTTTTAGAATGCATGTCAGACCGTCTTAAAAAGACTTGAACTGATGAAACAGTTCAATCCTAAAGGATCCTGGGACTACCAGGTAAGTAATCTGTCTCTGTCAGCAGACAAATGAGCACTGTCAGACTGTTTTCCTTGGCACCCCCTGAATGCAAATATATCTTTCTGCATCTCATTGGCAGAGGTTTGAGGCAAGAGAGCAAGTGAAACAGACAAAGCTTGCAAGGGCTTGTCTCCAAAGCCTAAGTTATGACTGATCCTAGGGCCTGCTTATGACAAACTTTACCAAATAAGTCTGAAGTAGTTACCTATATTTCTGTAGATAGGATTCAGTCCTGGTCAGAAAGAAGTCTAATTGTTTTCAAATTCCTATTCACTTTGCTGGATTAAAATTGCCTGTGAGATCTGTGTTAGCCTGTCAGCAATGGGGTTGGGCTCTATAGATGAGTGAGTATTCATACTGCAGAGGCAGTTCTTATTCAGTTACATTGACTGCATCCAGGGAGATTCTGGGAGGACTTATAGCCCCAGTGCCATTGTTGCTCTAATTCAGGGCTACATGTCCTTTCCTACCTAGAAACATTACACATGACCTCCAAGAAATATTTAACTGCATTCAAAAAGCAAAGGATTTGCTACTGGATTTGTAGGAGTGAGTCCATAATAGTCACCGTCAGCCCTGAGATTCACTGGAAAATAAAAATGACTGAAATAGTTTCAATTGGGTTTGGGAATATAGGGCAGTTTTATCAGATTTCTATTTATAGCTTTTCATGCTTTTCGTTTCTGCATGGGCTTGATGGAGGGGATAAAACATAAGAGCATTAAGATTTTGATAAGTTGCGATGTGGTGGTATTTCTTTTGACTGTTTGTGGAATGAAATCTGATTCTGTTGTTTGTTTTTCCTGTCTAGAATTCCTGACCTTGGCTATTGCTTCAAACTAACAAAGAGAAGCCATTCTGCTATTTCAGTTACGGTGCTGCTTGCTCTGAGGTTGAGATGGATTGTCTGACAGGTGACAGCAATGAGGGAGTCAGCAGGGAAATGGCCTTCTGTTTGGATCAAGAAAACATTCATAGGGAGTGAGCACTGGCTGTCAGCCTGTCCCTAGCTCTGTCATTGGTCCAGTGTGGCCTTCTGTCCATTTCCTAGTTATGGGATTTGCTTATGTGAGAGATGGCAGCACTGCCTTAGCAGAAAGGAACAGCAATGTATCAGAATTAAGTAAAAATAGCACTGGAATCTTTTAGAAAGGAAGAAGAAATAAGACAATTCATTAGAATCTGACCTTATGCCTTAATGGGTTATGCTCAGGTACAGAGCATTGCTCCTGGCAGCTTGGACCCAGTCTGTGCTGGTTCCAATCAATCTCCAGGGGAAAAAAGTTATTTTGTTTTACATTAAGGGTGAACTCAGTTTAAAAGATAGCACGAGCAATTGAGCTTGACATAAGTTGTTGAGCACTGGCCAAGTGTGGGTAGAGGTGGACAGATATATTGCTCCTCCTTATATGAAAGCACAGTGCGCCAGTTTCATCAGCTGTGCAGATTTATCCTTTATTTCTGTCTCTCAGTACATTCATGCATTGTTATGGATTCTGGCACCAGACTGAATCCAGACACAGATATAGGACAGGTATGTGAAGCAGTATTACTATTTTCACCATGTTAGAGATCACACTGCACTCAGGCTTTTCTAAATGAACCATTAATCCTCTTTAGCTTGTGCATTTGCAGATTTTCATTGGGTACCCAGTGAGAAATTTTAGGCTGGCTATGAAAACCAATTTGACCCACAGTTAACTGTGCAACAGGCACAGGGTTGTGAATCCAGAGGAAACTAGTACAAAGAACTTATGTACTTTGTGCACTAGCAATCACAAAGATGTTCTGCAAATAAAGGTAATAAACACAGGGATGTCTGATACACTGAGATGTCTCATCAGGCATCTGCACGTCCTTACCTAGCTAGTGCAGTACTGTTCCTTTGCTAACTCTAGATGTCAGTATAATCCAACTCCAGCGATGCTGCGGCAGGATTTAGTACTTTAACACGAGGTGCAGAGCTCTACTATCACTGAAATGAGACTTCTTTGAAAATGACATTTTCTGAAAGAGATGTTTTCTTAGTAGTGGCCGAAGGGAAAGGGAGCCTTTGTCTTCTCAGCCTGTCAAATTGGGGCTGGGACTCAAGATATGGAGCCCATCAATGAGACAGCAATTTCTTCTGTCCTATGAATTGCTGCAGAAGATCTGGGGTGGGAAAAAGAGAAAAGGAGGTAATAAAGCTGTGAGATCATGGAGGTGGGTTAAGGAATGTTTGTGGAGAATCCTCAGAGCAGTCAGTCTAATATCTGTCTCTGTGAGCATAGAGTACAGAGCTTCCTCATATAGGACTGTGTGTACGTGCTCCTCACAGCTGCTTTATCAGCAAATTCATGTCCTGTACTTAACAGCACATGCATTTGTCTGTATGAGTAAATGGTTTCATCTACCAGGAAATGCAGTTACACCACACTGTGAACACAGGAGTTGTACAAAGGTGCCAAGCTGTACTCAACAGAAAGGTGAAGGGTTTAGAGATGAAAAGTAAGGATTTAGCCAGGAATGGAGGACTGAGAACTCTGAAGTCATCACTGTTTGTTTGTTCTCGTGCAGAAAAGAACAAAAATGTATAATGAATGTAACCTTGTTTGGATGTTTATGTGGATAAGAGCATTTGTCCAAGGCCTTGGGCTCTTCATCATGAAGGTTCTGTGCTGCTCACTAAAAGGGAACTTGTACACTTGAGAGCCTGAGATGTACAGAATCCCCACGTTTGGAGACATCCCAACAGGATTCTGTGTGTGCTCTTTGTGACTGCCCAAAAAACAAGGCTGCTTATTCATCCAGGGTACACCTGCAAGACCTGCAGGCCTTTAACTGCTCAATGCTTGTGTAAATGCATGATAAAAGAAACAGTGCATGCAATCAGAGTAGTTGGGTTTTGTCACACTGGCTTTATTCTGGGTTCAGGGCGCTTTTCTGTTCTTTCCCAGAAAAATGAGTACTGCTCCTTATTGTAAACAGGAACAGAAGTAGCCTGCACACTGCCACTCTGTTCAGTAGAGAGAACTGAAATAACTTTGCTGTGCCAAAATCTCTATCTCTAACAGAGTCTGCAAGCCTCCCTCTGCATACTGTCTTCTCCTGAGGTTCTCATTGCCTTTCCTTGGCAGTAGGGACACTACTATGGTTAACACTTTCAGCAGTATTACTTCCCCCTATCTGAAGTACCAAGATCTTGCATCTGAATTTTCATGTTTTGCTTCCTTTGCTGTTTTACTCTGCCTTTAAACATAACTATTAAATATAATAATTTAATAATAATTAATAATTTATCAAGTAATTATTAATCTAATATTATATTAATAATTCAATATTAAAATATTGTAGTATTAAATCAACGTGTTCTTCAGCTGCTTCAATCAGTGCTGTTCTCTGCAGCTATGTACTCATGTATATATTTACATAGCAGGCCTGCATATACAGCATGAGTTCACTATACTTAAGGCTAAACAGAGTTGCTTACTGCAACTTTTTTTCTCCTCTTTACAGTTCCCTTCTGTAAGCCATACTGTGTGCACGTGTGAAAGGAAAGCTTGAGGAGCAAACTCTCTCTGTGAAAATAAGCTTATAGCAGAAGGACTACAAGGCAGTAGGACTGTAATGGAAGAAAACAATCCATGTTCAGGTGGCTCAACTACTGTGATTCATGGAATTTTCACATTTCATTTCTCAGTCTCTGTTTCCTCTAGGAGAGAAGATTGCAGCCAGATCATAGCTGTGCTGTAGATTCAAATGAAGAGTAAGTGGAAAATAATGTTATCTAGATGTAACTGAAAATCCTACAAATTTCGTTTGGAATTGCTGCAAGGATGGGAGACACTCACTGCAAGACAGTATGAAATTGCCTGGTTATTGTATTGGGGTTGTTGGTTTTTTTAAACAAATAAACAAAACTTGGGAGCGAATTATCACCTTATCACCTATTCTTAGTCCAAAAAGGACTTAAAAGCACTGAACCTGGACAAACAGTCCTCAAGTGGAGATGCAAAAGGGTATGAGAGACACTGAGGGCTGGAGCCTTCTATGAGCCCTCAGCACACACCACTACAAAGAGAAAGATAAGCAGGAATTTTGACATTAGCTCACTGTGATGAAGGTCTTACATATGTAATGGCAGTGGTTCAGAGGGAGATCTTAAAATGTGACCAATAGTTGATTTATCCTAAATTAAAGAGGATGGCTTTGTCTACAGCAATCCTAGGGCTATGCTGGGGACTTGATGGAATTTTAGTTGATGTGCTATCTTGTCTTCTCTGATTAAAGATGTAAACTAGAGATGCTAAGGTTTCTAACAAAAGACTGATTCATTCGACACATTCAGCTTATTCCTTTCATGTCTTTCTCTCATCTTTTGAACACCAGAGGACATCAGAGAAAGGACCTGGGAGGAATGAAATGTTACTGATTGTTATTCCTGAGGTGATTTATACCCACTTGGGTGAGGGACAGGACAAGGGCAAAGTTGAGGGATGGGTTGGCTCTGGGTGCTCCCTAGGTTCAGTCTCTGGCTTTAATGTTATGGCCTTGCTACCTTTTCAAGGCAATGCTTAGTTCTGTTGAAAGTAAGGGAATTGTATATGTCTGGGAACTTGTGGAAAGGTGAAAGGACCCTTGTTGGCTGGTGAGGATGGACCAGCACTGTGATTGAGTCTGAAGAAGACAATGGCTGCTAGGGGCTGCCCTGCAGTGTGATTGAATCTTGGGGCAGGCCTGGCCTTCTCACAGCACAGCAGGGCTGGGAACACCATCAGCAGTTCCCTAGGAGGTCTGACACAGTGCCATCTCACCGGTTTGCGTAGAGTAGGCAGATGCTGGCTGTGCTGCTTTAGGAGTTTTCATTTGTGTGAGCAGGCTCGTCACAAAGAAGCCATTGCCAATGCTCTTGGCCCAAAAGGAAGAGAGTGCCCAGACTACAAATAGGAGTGCATTCAGCGCCCATGAGGATGCCCCCAAATGCTGGGTTTGTTGAAAGCTATTCAATCCACCACAGTGGATGTGCAGTTTTCTATGCTCCAGTGCCATCCCGAAGCCGTGTGTTTCTCCAGGGCTTGGTCCTGCATTTTGTAATGCAACTCAGCAGTGTAAAGGGCCTTGACACCTTGTCCCCAGCAATGGTCAATCTCAATTATCTTCCCTTTCAGTTGGAGCTGTGGCATGGACAATCACACAGCATGGAGCAACGGTCTTCAAGAGTTCATCTAGTTCACAGCACTTGAATTAATGCTCTCTGAAATGTTCCCTCCAGATGGAGCATTCCTACAAGCTTTCTGGAGTGCTGAGATGGTCCGACAGCAAGCTATGAGAAAATGGGAAAGCAGAAAGGTCCCAGCGGTAGAAATGAGCCAGCTGCTGCTTCTGCTGGAGGGACAGCTCGCCGAGCAGCTTCTTGGACAGCCAGCTGTAAGTCCACAGCACGTGTTGATCGGTGAGCTCGAGGAGGTGGGTGTTGGCCTTCAGCCTGGTGCGCTGCAGCAGGTGGCCCAGCTCCTGCCTAAGGAAGCCAAACATCAGCACATAGTCGTACTGAATGAGGCAGGGCAGGCACAGGCTGACGAGTGGTTTCCAGGCTGTGCCGGCATTTTGCATCCCCGTGTCTAAAGCCTCCTGGACAAAATTGCTGAAGGAAGAGCTTCTGTGCATGCTTTGCAGGTAAGCAGCGACCAGCCTCTGGAAAGGATCCCTGACAAAGAGCACTTTGGTGTAGGACCCTATCACAGCTTCTATCGTGCTCAGGTTGAGCCTGCCCAGCTCTGTCTGCAGAGTGTGCTGCTGAGGGTAGGGAAGCAGTGCTGGGAGCGTCCCATTTTCTTTCTCTTCCAGCTCTTCCAGCAGCTGCTGCCATCCCTCCACCCCTGTTGCTGGCACCTGGCAGTAGAGGAAATTCAGCTTGGTGCTCACCCTCACCCTGGAGAGCAGATGAGCTCTCTCCTCACGGCTTGTCTGGAGCATGGTGGCTTTGCCTGACCGGCTGCAGAAAGCTCTCAGGCTTTTCTTCCTGAGCTGCTGAACATGGAGGAAGGTGTCCAGCGTCAGAGTGAAATCCTCCTCCGCCTTGGGGGCCATGTCACCTGGGAACACCACACAAACACAGGAGGTGAGGGAAGCCTTGCTGTGACCATGAGTCAGCACCCCAGATGCTGTGGGCAGGCTCTCCTTCCAGTTAGTGCTGTTATCTCATGGGGTCAGAAGGCATGATGGATTCTGTTCCTGAGCTCTCTGAGTGGCTCCCTATGACTGAGAGCACACGGATGCCCTGACTGTGCTTTTCCCAAGCTACAGATTTTGAGTGGTGATTGAAACAGTTGCTTTGTGCTACAGATCTTGTTCTCTGCTAAACCCATGTTTTTGTTTTTAACTTCTCTCTTTCAACAGAGATGAGCTTGCAGAGCAAGTAGAATCAGAAGTGTTCAGAGAGATGAAGGAGTCATGAATTGGTTTGCAAATATAAATACACGCCCCCCTACAAGCCCTTTTGGATCTATTGAGAGTTAAACATTGGATATTAAACATATGCCAAAATAAGAGATCTTTCTCTGTGGCTAGAAGTGATTTAGGAGTCCGCATGGCTTAGCTTCCTGCATCACTTTGGCATGTAAAGTTCTTTCTCCTGAAGATGAAAAGGAAAAAGCAAATAAAAAGCTAAAAGCACATGAAGAGTGAAAGCAAATAAAAGGACAGTTGACAGTTGCTTTGAATTTGTCAAATTTCAGCTATGCTCCTTACTTTTTATCTTCTTATTGTGGATGTGATGAGGCCATTCCAGGCTTAAGGCTCACATCAAGGCAGAGATTAATATGTTCCTTGTGATGTATGTTTAGTACCACAAACTTGCATTTGGCAGCCCTGCCAGGAACATTATTTTGATGGTTTCCTCTGTGTCCTTGGGAAGTTAAATATTTTCCTCTGGTTTAGGGATGTTTTCGGGCAGGGAAGATAAGCCCTTCTCAAAACTATGGAGAAAGGACTCCAGGAATGCAGGAAAAGAATGCAGCAATGCTGGAAGCTAGCTTGAGGTAATCTTCAATGCACCCAGACCCAAAACACTTGCAAAATACAGCCATGGCTTTGCCCAGCGTTTGTAGGGACTGGAGGGGGGCATGCATTATGCAGGCAGCAGATGCATTATCCAGTTCACGCAGCCCCCTCCAGCTTCCCCAGAGAAGCAGAGCCTCGTTCCCTCCTATTTCCCCATAGCACAGCTTTCTTGAGTTACTTCCTGAGCCTGACACCTCGTTCCCCCACCCCTGAGATACAGATCCCCTCTGAGGACATAAAGACGCAGGGCCCCACGGTGAGAGCTGTTCCTGTGCTGTGGAGCAGCTCGGCCTCGCTGTGAGCATTACCTCCTGGCGTCCAGAGAAGCCTCCAGGTCACAAGGATGCTGATGCCCAGGGTGGCTATAATGATGATGCGGAGAAGGAAGCGCGTGGCAGAGCTGTACCTCAACACCGAGCGGGTGCAGACATGGAGGATGGGTGTCAGGAGCTTCCTGTGTTGATTTAAGGCAAAACACGCCCAGAGCCTGGGTTAAAGTACTGTTTGGGTGGCTGTTTGGCTAAGGGGCAGGGAACACACAGTGTTGCCTTCTGCTTTGCATTTACGAGCATAAATCTGCTTTTTTATCAGCATTTGAACCATACCTAGCAGTCAGCCACGCTGCCCGTGCCACATCACTGTAGACCCCATCAGAAAGGAGCCACACGCCGGCATCCCCATGCAGAGCCTGATGGGGTGAGACAGCCACAGATACGTCATTCGCCGTCAGCATAGCTGCTTGGTGAAATGCTGTTTGGGGTGTCTCCCCTTCCCCGGGAAGCCTGACTTGTGAAGATGACATCCAAGATGAGGCTGGATGGGGCTCTGACCTGCCCATAGCTGTCTCTGTTCATTGCGGGGGAGTTGGACCAGATGGCCTTCAAGAGTCCCTTCCAGCTCAAGTGGTTCTATGACTCCATGAAGATGAATAGGAAAGGGGTTGCAGTCTGGAGGTGCCATGGGTGCATTTGCCTTCCTTGGGAAAATGGAGTTGAGTTTTTCCCAACAGAGGGAGCTCTGGCATCCCCATATCTCTTGCTCAGGAGGTCAGGCCTTGTGTCCCTGCAAGCTGTCCCCCAAAACTCAGAAGCACAGCATAGCCTGATGCTGGGGAATCAGTGTGCAGGGCCAGAGAGGAAGGGCAGTCTTCTTCTTCCTTCCCAGCTTAAAAGGTGCATCTAAACTCAGCTGTTGTGTGTGCTCCTCCTAGTGCAATGGGTAGACAGAACAGCAAGGTTTGCAGTAAGATTACGAAACAGAAGAGCAGAAGGAACCACGCATGTTCTCTTAGCTAACAGCTGGCAGTTGCATTTGTCTTCCTGCACCAAGCCACAGCGTTTGGGTAGGGACTGCCCCAGCTGCAGCCCTGGTGAGTGAAAGTGCTTGAGAGAAGGGCAGTTTATTTTTAAGCAGACTTGTCATGCATGCAGTCACCAGGCAAAAGCAAAGCAATGTTCTCTGTCTGGATAAAGTGTCCTGCCTTTCCGAATGCACGAAGAACAAGCAGCACTTATAAAGGTTTGTTAGTATGGATCTCCTAAGAAGAGCGCAGGACACAAATGGTGCTTGCAATTCTGCAGCTGTGTGCTCACTCCTAGCTCCAAGGGTGGGTGTAAGCATCCTAGCACCATTCAGAGGCCTGCACAAAAGACATCTGGTGACTTTTTCCTCACCAGCAGCAGACCACATGCACAGCAGCGTTAATCTTGTGTTATTCCAGCAGCTGCAGAGCTGCCTCTTGCATACAGCCGAGACTGCTGTGGAGGTAGGTATGGGACAGAGAGAAGAAAGGAGCCTCTTGTCTCTCTCTCTCTAACTCAGGCTTGCTATTTATATGCTTAGTACAGTGATTTTTTGTCCCCAAAGCTTTTCTGTTTGTTTTGGATATTTGTTTTGGTGCTGGAAACCTTTCTCAAATGTCTGCTGACACTTCAGACTGCAACTTAGAGGTGGACTTTCCTCACCTTCCATAGACCTCTTAGAGGTGTCCAACAGACCTCAATCTGAAAGGCTTCCTGCCCCATGTTGTAGAGGGCAGCATTGTTCTCAGACTGGAGTTTGAGACAGACAGGAAAACACATCCTGCTCTGAAACACAGCTGTACAAGGGAATTAGGGAACTTATTTGAAGCTTCACCTGTAAACCTTTATTTAGGAAAACTCCTGCTGCTATAAACGTGAGAAAAAGGTTTCCTGATACTTTAAACAAGTAAAATGATCACCTGTGTAAGGATTTCCAGATTTAGCCTAACCAGTTGCTCAAGCTGTGTTGCCTTGGGCTCACTGTTTTTTTCTCATAGGACTCAAACCCTTTGGAGATATTCTTCTGTGTCAATAAACATCCTTGTCCTGAGCCTTCTCACATTCCTCCCACACTTCAGAATTTTGCAGAGCATTGTTTTGTGTGACCATGACCTACCCAAAGCACTGTTCCTCCTGATGCTGGCCTTCGTGGCACGCACATGTGAGCGGAGGAAGGCAGGTCCCACTGCCTGCTTGTGGGAAAGTGAGCTTTTCTAGGTGATGACAAATACTGCTGTATTCAGCAAGGGATATTTTTACCTTGGGGATAAAGGAAAAGCAGATTGGAAACTGCCTTTTTCTCCTGCTTCTTGTTTGGAAGGCTACTGTTTGGAAACTTGGAGACAACATCTAAATTTTGCTCATCTCAGAGCAGCAAACAGTGTGAAGTTGGACCAGTCACTGCAGAAATGTGGCAGCAGCCAGGGGAGAACAAGCTGCCCTGCTCTCAGAGCATTGCTTGGAGTGAGATGAGTCTTTTACACTTGGCCATGAGGGAAACAGACTTACTGCAGGTCACAATGCACACTCATGAGACTGCCCTAATTGCACGGGGCAGCTCTTGACAAGGTTTAGCACTTCACCACCTTGAGCTGGAGTACTTTGACAACACCAGCTCCTTTACACTTCTGATAATTTAACAGTTATAGACTGTTAGAGCATCCATATAGACTGTATAAGAGCATCCATTTTTGGCAGTTTCAAGTATGAGTGTCTCTTGGTGGGGAGGATTTGGGATGTTTCTCTGCCTTGCTTCCACCAGACAGGGGTGAACTAGGTCTGTATCTGTATCTTCCAGAACTTACATCCAGTGCTGCTGCTAAACCACAGTAAAGGAAAGGGGAGAATTTTGTGTTGCGTTTGAGGAGTGGAGCAGGTAGGACAGTGTTTAGAGGGGTTGTACAACTCCAGCTTCCTGTTTTCCTGCAGCAGGAGCTGTGATTGTCACTTATTATTCAGCTCCTCATCCTGGGAGGAAGACAGTATCAGGCTGCTCGGGGGCAGCAGGATGTTTATGTGATAGGCTGAGTCAGGGTACTGCTTTTAGTACTCTGTGGAGCAGAGTAATTGGGGGAAACATACATTTTAGATTATATTCTCTTTTAAATAAGGGTCATAAATACCCGAAGACCTTTGCAATTGCCATGCAGTACTATCAGGGCCGAATACCTGTCCTTTCGAAGGTTATTATGCAAGAATTTCACAAGGTGTCATTAACTGTTGGTAATGTAGTGATGGTTCATGTGATTAGCCATGCTAATTGACTCTATCAGCTGTTAAACTGAGTACTGGCTACACTTACATCAGCACTCGTGGTGAGGAGAGACTGAGGCAGAACCAGGCCTGATTTGATTGCACACTGCTTGGCTGTAGAACACCAGAGCACATTGGGCCTGACAAGTCTCTGAGCTTCCTGGCAAGGAGATGGCGGTGGAGAAAAACATAGAGGTGTTGGGAAGGACATCTAGGATGTAAAACCTGTGGCCAGGCTTTGCTCTTCCCACTGTGGACCCCAGGGGTGGGGAGATATAGGATGAGAAGAAGGCAATGACGTGGAGCAGGGCATCTTGCACATCCTGTGATACCACTTTCTCTGAGCCATGGCATTCCCATCAGCCTGGCATTTCTCTGCCCATGTCAAGACTTAGATCTGGGCTTCAAATCAGCTGCTCCCTGTTCAACACTAGTGCTGTCAGCTCAGCTCTTCTCTCCCAGCACTGCTCTTGCCCAAGGTATTGGCTTTGGCCTTCCTGTTGCTTTTCCAGACTCACCCTGATGGACGCTGCAGTGCAGGAGAAGAGCTGGGACTGTGAGGCTGAAATACAGCTTTGCAGCCTTGCGGGAGGCTGCAGCAAACCCTGGGCAATTGGCAACGTTAGCTCTAGAATGCACACTGAGGGATGTGCTGAGATGTCTGCCCATTGCTCCTCATATTTCCCAAGGGAATGACGCCAAGCTCAGCTGCTGGCTGTAAGATTTATCTTAGTGGCTGCTTGTTTCCATTACTCCTACAACATCTTCTCAAATGCTTGGGGATGTTGGCCTTTGCAGTGGTTTTTAGGGAGGGGCAGCCAGGCATGCTTGGGCTACTCTACATCAGGCTTCGCGGGATGTTTTTGCTGATGGATGAGTAACATTTTTTGGGAACTTGGGAGGCTGATCCCAAATATGTTGCTGTCCCAGAAATGGCAGGGGAAAACACATTTAAGATCTGTTTGCTTTACTTTTTTTTCACCCAGACAATAATCCCCCACGTATTCCCAGGTTGTTTATATTTAGATAAGGCTGTGCAGCATCCTGTGAAAGGAAAATGACACACATCTGCCCCTCCAGGGGCAAGACAGTGTGGAACAAGTAGACCTGACTGAAGCAAAGCACAGCCATCATATAAACTGGTGTCACTGATGCTGGGGGTGTATCAAACACAGAATCCCCATCGCTGGGCTGGTCTGTAGGGTGGGAAGCTCTCTCACACTTGACTGTGCAGCAGGGTGAAACTATGGGATGCTTTGCACTCCCCCTGTTATATGATGCCACCCTCCTGGAAACCAAATGCATACTTGAAATGTCTTTGTGGGAGCTTTGTGGGAGCAGCCCACTGTTGCTAGGCACAAGCAGGAAAGTTATTAAAACAAATCTTTTTTTTTTATTATTATTTTTTAAACTACTCAGAGAGTAATTGCAGAGCCCTTTGCTTGTCAAGGGAGAGGTTATGCGAGGAGAAAAATGCATCACCCAGAGGCCCAACAGCCCCTCCATAGCTGGGATGTCTTAAGGGATAGGAATATTCTTGGCACGGGGGGGGAGGAAGGCAAATACTGCTCCATCATTGCCTGGCTCAGCATCGCCCAGGAAGCTGTGCTGGGTTCAGCTTGGGGCAGGAGCTTTGGTAAAGCGTCAGAAGCTTCAGCTGCATCCAGCATCCTGCTGCCTGATCTCAACATGGGACAAGAATGTTTTCCTTGCTATATCTTTTGTTTTTTTTTTTAATTTCCTCTGGGTTATTTTTATCAAAAAGTGAAGAAAGGAGAAACTTCTCTTCCTATTGTTTTTTTTTACTATTATTACTATCATTTGGGAAGAAGGAAGAGGGGAAGTGATTTTCCTCTCTCATTCAAAGCTAGCATATGCAGCCAAAAATTACTGC